TAGGAGCCAGGTTACTCATATATACATGAGTTATATATATATATATATATATATATATATATATATATATATATATATATATATATATATATAACTCATGTATATATATATATATATATATATATATATATATATATATATATATATATATATATATGCACAGACTACCCTATTCCAGTAGCTGAAGTTTATAACTTTTAACCCACACTATCTCATCGCCTGGGAGAGGATTGGAATTCTGGTTGGTTAAATACCCCAGAATTCCTACCTCTCTTATGGCTTTGAAGTATAGCGTAGTGGATACAGCATGCAACTGCCACCTTGTTGGCCAGTGTTCGAGTCCCCTGGTGGGTTGAGTGTCTAAAAAGTTATAAACTTCAGCTACTGGAATAGGGTAGTCTGTGCATTAAGCATTTGGCACTGAGTTTTCCCATATAACAGGAACCGATGAAAGAGCATCCGAGGTCCCACACTATCTCATCGCCTGGGAGAGGATTGGAATTCTGGTTGGTTAAATACCCCAGAATTCCTACCTCTCTTATGGCTTTGAAGTATAGCGTAGTGGATACAGCATGCAACTGCCACCTTGTTGGCCAGTGTTCGAGTCCCCTGGTGGGTTGAGTGTCTAAAAAGTTATAAACTTCAGCTACTGGAATAGGGTAGTCTGTGCATTAAGCATTTGGCACTGAGTTTTCCCATATAACAGGAACCGATGAAAGAGCATCCGAGGACCCACACTATCTCATCGCCTGGGAGAGGATTGGAATTCTGGTTGGTTAAATACCCCAGAATTCCTACCTCTCTTATGGCTTTGAAGTATAGCGTAGTGGATACAGCATGCAACTGCCACCTTGTTGGCCAGTGTTCGAGTCCCCTGGTGGGTTGAGTGTCTAAAAAGTTATAAACTTCAGCTACTGGAATAGGGTAGTCTGTGCATTAAGCATTTGGCACTGAGTTTTCCCATATAACAGGAACCGATGAAAGAGCATCCGAGGTCCCACACTATCTCATCGCCTGGGAGAGGATTGGAATTCTGGTTGGTTAAATACCCCAGAATTCCTACCTCTCTTATGGCTTTGAAGTATAGCGTAGTGGATACAGCATGCAACTGCCACCTTGTTGGCCAGTGTTCGAGTCCCCTGGTGGGTTGAGTGTCTAAAAAGTTATAAACTTCAGCTACTGGAATAGGGTAGTCTGTGCATTAAGCATTTGGCACTGAGTTTTCCCATATAACAGGAACCGATGAAAGAGCATCCGAGGTCCCACACTATCTCATCGCCTGGGAGAGGATTGGAATTCTGGTTGGTTAAATACCCCAGAATTCCTACCTCTCTTATGGCTTTGAAGTATAGCGTAGTGGATACAGCATGCAACTGCCACCTTGTTGGCCAGTGTTCGAGTCCCCTGGTGGGTTGAGTGTCTAAAAAGTTATAAACTTCAGCTACTGGAATAGGGTAGTCTGTGCATTAAGCATTTGGCACTGAGTTTTCCCATATAACAGGAACCGATGAAAGAGCATCCGAGGTCCCACACTATCTCATCGCCTGGGAGAGGATTGGAATTCTGGTTGGTTAAATACCCCAGAATTCCTACCTCTCTTATGGCTTTGAAGTATAGCGTAGTGGATACAGCATGCAACTGCCACCTTGTTGGCCAGTGTTCGAGTCCCCTGGTGGGTTGAGTGTCTAAAAAGTTATAAACTTCAGCTACTGGAATAGGGTAGTCTGTGCATTAAGCATTTGGCACTGAGTTTTCCCATATAACAGGAACCGATGAAAGAGCATCCGAGGTCCCACACTATCTCATCGCCTGGGAGAGGATTGGAATTCTGGTTGGTTAAATACCCCAGAATTCCTACCTCTCTTATGGCTTTGAAGTATAGCGTAGTGGATACAGCATGCAACTGCCACCTTGTTGGCCAGTGTTCGAGTCCCCTGGTGGGTTGAGTGTCTAAAAAGTTATAAACTTCAGCTACTGGAATAGGGTAGTCTGTGCATTAAGCATTTGGCACTGAGTTTTCCCATATAACAGGAACCGATGAAAGAGCATCCGAGGTCCCACACTATCTCATCGCCTGGGAGAGGATTGGAATTCTGGTTGGTTAAATACCCCAGAATTCCTACCTCTCTTATGGCTTTGAAGTATAGCGTAGTGGATACAGCATGCAACTGCCACCTTGTTGGCCAGTGTTCGAGTCCCCTGGTGGGTTGAGTGTCTAAAAAGTTATAAACTTCAGCTACTGGAATAGGGTAGTCTGTGCATTAAGCATTTGGCACTGAGTTTTCCCATATAACAGGAACCGATGAAAGAGCATCCGAGGTCCCACACTATCTCATCGCCTGGGAGAGGATTGGAATTCTGGTTGGTTAAATACCCCAGAATTCCTACCTCTCTTATGGCTTTGAAGTATAGCGTAGTGGATACAGCATGCAACTGCCACCTTGTTGGCCAGTGTTCGAGTCCCCTGGTGGGTTGAGTGTCTAAAAAGTTATATATATATATATATATATATATATATATATATATATATATATAACTCATGTATATATGAGTAACCTGGCTCCTAGCCTAACTCTCTACCACACTGGTAGTGATAAAAAAGACAATGCTTACGACATGAATGATATTCTCGCTCACCTAAATTTCACCTAAATTAAGGGGTAATGGGAGGGAATTTAGCTGCCTAACTCTTTCTGATACAAAGTCGACGTATCCTCTGGCGAGGGTCGGTGAGGTCCTCGGTCCTGGCGTTCGGTCCTCCGTTGATCAGGGTCCTGCACACACAAGGTCCTCATTCGACTTTTAGATGCGCGTCCTCGCCGTACTCCCACTCTACAGGCAGGTCCTCTTCCTCCTCCTCCTCCTTAGGTATTAGAGACAGGCCCCTGTGCACGTCGTCTTCCTCCTCCCACACTGGAATTGTAGACGAACATGCAGTCTGGTTCAGTGTCCGCCTCCTCAAACATCCAGTGGACTTGGCCCGGCCGCAGCAGCTCGCCTGATGTGTTTGAACGTGGCCCGCAGGGGCGTCCTCACGACCCCGCCCAACGTTCCTCTTCGCCACAGTCTATCCGTACAAGAGCTCTTGGCACTAACACCAGCCAAGCCCTGCTTCCATGTACTCTACAGGAGATCAGATAATCTCCCACAATGTCTGCAGTATCAATGCGGCTGCTTAGGTTCACTGGCTGGGGCTTCCTAGCCTCCAAATTAGGAGCTTATTTGAACGTTTCCGCTCTCGACGATGGGACATAACTCACTGAGCCCGCAGGGGCGTTGGGCCGCCCAGATCCCTCTTCCTTGTGACGTCACACCGCCCGAGGGCTCCTCGCCATTGATCAATTACGTCACGTGACCCCTACCTGGCCAATCAAGAGACGGCTGGCGTCAAGCTCCTTTGGCTGGACGCAGAATGCGCTGGCGCCATCTTGTAACACAAAAGGGCGTAAGCCACTAGTAAAACCAAACTAAATCGGCAAATTCACATCCAACAAGATAACTTTCAATACCTTTATATACATCAAAACGTTCCCTGAGCATCAGAGAACGTGCAGGTCACAGAAAAGATGCGGGTACAGGATAGATGTAGGGGTGGGGACACTGTCACAATATTTATATATATGTTGTACCTAGTAGCCAGAACGTCGAACTTGGCCTACTATGCAAGGACCGATTTGCCTAACAAGCCAAGTTTTCCTGTATTTATATATTTTAAAATATTTTTTTTTATGAAATGATAAATCTGTCCATTTCGTTATGTATTAGTTATTTTTTTTTAATTTGAGTTAGAACTAACGTAGATATATGACCGAACCTAACCAACCCTACCTAACCTAACCTAACCTAACCTAACCTATCCAAACCTATCTTTACCTAACCTAAACTAACACAATTAAGTCAATAATTTATGTTCCTAATATAATATAACAATAATAATTCTAATAAGCTAATTGGAAACAAATTATTGGGAGTAAAGAAAATCTCTCGGTCTATTAGGCAAATCGGGCCTTGCATAGTTGGCCGATAAGTGCGTTATGGCTACTAGGTACGACATTATATATATATATATATATATATATATATATATATATATATATATATATATATATATATATATATATATATATATATGTCGTACCTAGTAGCCAGAACTCACTTCTCAGCCTACTATGCAAGGCCCGATTTGCCTAATAAGCCAAGTTTTCCTGAATCAATATATTTTCTCTATTTTTTTTCTTATGAAATGATAAAGCTACCCATTTCATTATGTATGAGGTCAATTTTTTTTATTTGAGTTAAAATTAACGTAGATATATGACCGAACCTAACCAACCCTACCTAACCTAACCTAACCTATCTTTATAGGTTAGGTTAGGTTAGGTAACCGAAAAATTTAGGTTAGGTTAGGTTAGGTAGGTTAGGTTGTCGAAAAACAATTAATTCATGAAAACTTGGCTTATTAGGCAAATCGGGCCTTGCATAGTAGGCTGAGAAGTGAGTTCTGGCTACTAGGTACGACATATATATATATATATATATATATATATATATATATATATATATATATATATATATATATATGTGTGTGTGTGTGTGTGTGTGTTTACTAGTTGTGTTTTTACGGGGGTTGAGCTTTGCTCTTTCGGGCCGCCTCTCAACTGTCAATCAACTGTTTACTAACTACTTTTTTTTTCCCACACCACACACACACACACCCCAGGAAGCAGCCCGTGACAGCTGACTAACTCCCAGGTACCTATTTACTGCTAGGTAACAGGGGCATTCAGGGTGAAAGAAACTTTCCCCATTTGTTTCTGCCTCGTGCGGGAATCGAACCCGCGCCACAGAATTACGAATCCTGCGCGCTATCCACCAGGCTACGAGGCCCCCGGGCCCCCGGGCCCCCGGCCCCCAGGCTATGTGTGTGTGTGTGTGTGTGTGTGTGTGTGTGATATTTTCAATATTAATTACAATACACTAATTTATTTGTTTTTCTGCAGGCAGTTGTGGTGTTTTATGTAGCACTGTTGCTGGTGTTGGTGGGGGGAGGGCTGAAGCGACGAGTCACCCGCTCCTCGACGACTTCTGGCCGTCGACACATTCTCACCTACTCTCCCACCACCCGCATCGCCAAGCCTGCCCTGGCCGACCACCACCCACAACCAGAGGCATCGGCCACTCAAGTTTAGTGCGTCCAACCTCAATCTGTGAGGCATTATCAACTTGGGCGAATTGCATCCACCTACAGCCAGAGGGATAGCCACTACGGCCGTAGGGCTTCCACCCATGTCCACAGGCATAGCCACCTTGGGCGCAGTGCGTCCACCCACGTCCAGAGGCATGTCCATATTTGGCGTAGGGCATCCACCCATAACCTGAGGCATGGGCCACTCCAATAGTGTGCTCTGGCCAATTACCTTCCACAACAAGAGGAATTGACCATAAACATGCTGAACTACGAAGGCATCATGGCCAGCATATATATAATAATATCAGTGTGTCTATACCCTAACTTCTCCCATCGTTATTTCCGGTGTAGGTAATCATGCAGACGAATGTAAGAAGCCTTAGTTTTACTTTTAAATAATCCCTATTTTAAAATGTTCCCTTTAATTTTAGCACACTGGTGATGCTAAACATGTAATTGTTTTATTTCTGTACATTTTAGGACACCGTCGATGGTGAGGACAATGTAGATCCTTAATGACCTCAAACTGGGTCTTAACGTTTTTGTGTAGTAACGTACATATCAACCATCTCCAAGATAAGTATATATACTAGTTATATATATATGTATATATATATATATATATATATATATATATATATATATATATATATATATATATATATATATATATATATGTCGTACCTAGTAGCCTGAACTCACTTCTCAGCCTACTATTCAAGGCCCGATTTGCCTAATAAGCCAAGTTTTCCTGAATTAATATATTTACTATAGTTTTTTTCTTATGAAATGATAAAGCAACCCTTTTCTCTATGTATGAGGTCAATTTTTTTTTATTGGAGTTAAAATTAACGTAGATATATGACCGAACCTAACCAACCCTACCTAACCTAACCTAACCTATATTTATAGGTAAGGTTAGGTTAGGTAGCCAAAAAAAGCTAGGTTAGGTTAGGTTAGGTAGGTTAGGTAGACGAAAAAACATTAATTCATGAAAACTTGGCTTATTAGGCAAATCGGGCATTGAATAGTAGGCTGAGAAGTGCGTTCTGGCTATTAGGTACGACATATATATATATATATATATATATATATATATATATATATATATATATATATATAATTGGTATGTCCAAAATTAATTCTCATACATAATTCTAATTTGCTCATGTACAAGTCGACCAAAGCGTCACCTTGGAAAGCGATAAATCAGTTACAATGAATTTCCAAACAAAATTTGAACGTGTGCAAAGGTTTCCTAATTAATCTTGATATGTTAACAAATCCCTCAAACTTCGATTGATTGTACAAAGAATTATTAAGAGAACGTTCCCTAGTCAGGTGTAGCATAGTGCTGACTCATAGTCTCCCTCTGACTCAAGCTGTCAGCCTCATTACAATATATTGTACTGTGTTCACCTTAACATTTTTTATTTATATTTTATCTGGTTTTTAGATTATTCTAAGTCATTTTTTTATTAATTTCGTGTTGTTCTTAGCTAGTCATGCTGAGATCTGATTAGCTAAACAGATTTTGATGTGTTTAGCTTGTGTTGTGGTGTGTAACCTACTGTATGATGTTGTGGTTAAATTAAGATCTCTTGCTGAGCTTTAATTACCACATCGTCCAATGTTTAATTAACATAGCTCTGTTTAATTTAATATTTTGGGCTGTACTCTTCTTAATATATATTGTTCACGTTGCAGCTTGAGTTTTTATTTTTTAAATTATGACGATTTTTATTTTATTAGACCCATGATTTTTATTATTATTATTATTATTATTATTATTATTATTATTATTATTATTATTATTATTATTATTATAAATTCTTTCAAAGTGGTTGATCTGGATTTATAGATCCCATCAGAATTTGTAAGATTTTTTCACGTTATTAAAGTTCAGGATTCCTGTGAGAGTTCACTAACCATGACGGATTGTGTTTGGATATTAAATGAAGGATATACAATGAAAATATTCATATCATAACATTTAGAGCAAATAAAGTCATTAATGCGTGACATAAACGTACTGCCCTGCAGTGTTTGTTTTGGTCTCAAACAATATTAACATACATAAGCAGCTTCCTCGAGAAGCTCATTTGAAATTCAGCAAAAATTACAAATAAATTTTAATGAGAATACTTTGCATTTGTATTTTTAGTTTTCTTCTAAACAGAAATGTCCGACACAGCTGCCGACTTAATTGGCTCTTCACCTTGATAATATGAGAACTCTCTTTCTCTCTCACCCTGTTACTACCCTTTCTCATGCCCTCTCTAACACCTCTTGTTCCCTACTTTCACTCCTCTCTCTCTTACTGCCTGTTTTATCTTCCTCCATCCCTCTCTCATTCTTACTCCCCCCGCTCTTCTCCCTCCCTTCCCCTTTCATGCTTGTCATTCTTACATTTGTCCTTATCACTATCCTTCGTGTTATTCGTGAGGCTCTACCTCTCTCCCTCCGACCCTCCTGCTCTCTCGCATTCTCACTCCTATTCCCTTCCTCCATTTTCTCTCTTATTGCTTGCAACATTGACTAGTGCTTGCTCTGAGTGTGGTCAATATCTTAGGTCAAGGAGTTAATAAACAGGGGGGTTAGGTAAGGCCCAGCACCGAGGGAAAACAATTCCCAGCAAATATTAAATATCATCTTTAGAAACACTTTCCCACCAGGAGACTCGAACCCTAGCCAGCACAGAAGCCTTCCAGCAACTGGCATAACAGGTACGCCTTAACCCACTCCACCACCTGCTCAGACCCTTAAAAGAGATGGTAATTTCGGAGTATTTAACGCTCCAAAGACCACCACCTCCCAAGAGCACTAGAGCAAGTGGGGGTCATTTTTACGTTTTTTCATCAAGTCCCTGTTAATATGCAACCCGTTCTCGCAAATTCGTAAAGTCAATATTGACTTATTAACTACGTGCATAGGTGATATACTAAACATAATAGATACCCCTAAAAAGATTCATAGAAAACACCGACCTTACCTAACCTTGTTAGTATCTTAAGATAAGCATCTTATTGCTTCGTAATTACAATTATTACTTAACCTATACCTATTATAGGTTAGGTAATAATTGTAATTTCGAAGCAATAAGATGCTTATCTTAAGATACTAACAAGGTTAGGTAAGGTCGGTGTTTTCTATGAATCTTTTTAAGGGTATCTATTATGTTAAGTATGTCACCTATGCACATATTTAATAAGTCAATATTGACTTATTAAATTTGCGAGAACGGGTTGTAATATGGGAGAACACTGTGTCTATGCTTAAGGCACAACTCTCCTAAACACGAGAGTGAAGTATACAACTTTAGAAACACTTTCCCACCAGGAGACAGGTGTCTCCTGGTGGGAAAGTGTTTCTAAAGTTGTATACTTCACTCTCGTGTTTAGGAGAGTTGTGCATTAAATATCATATATTGGTCTGTAATCAAGAGCTTAACCACTCCACTACAACAAGGTAAGAAGAATACTCTGGTTATAATCCTCTGGGGATGGTCTGGTTGCATGTGAAGATTATATGCTCCTTGATGGAGCCCCTGTTGTTTATGCATTGTTAATCACCTAAATAGAGACGTTGTCGTCTTGCTGATATACTGAGATCTTTGGGGCGACAGTCCACCAAGTGGGCATGTGAAGGCATAAACGACATTGGTTTCTTTCAATATACAGAACCTTCGTGGTTCTGACCGCCCAGACAGGTACAAGAGGAGTGTTGTCAATGCGTATGTCAACCGAGCTCTCACTCACAGCTCTGGTTGAAAGCAGGTCGATGAAGAACTCTGTAGGGTAAGGCAGGTCCTAGTGAACAATGGCTTCTCTAACGGTTATGTTGAAGACGTCATTTAAAGAAAGGTGAAACGCCATGCAACCTCTGAAGAATGTACTAACACTTGTAACTCTTATTTGACTGTTTTATAGGAACTTCTTTTCGACGGCTCATAAACCGGAGGAAAGGGTCCAGAAAGACATAATTGATAGGAACGTTATCCCTACAGACAAAAATCAGAAAATACAATTAACAATTTACTACAAAAAACAAAAAAACGGCCAGCCTACTCATGAAAAACTCCCCAGACACCAAACAGAAGGCTCTGAAGGAAACCAACGTCGTCTGTGCCTTCACATGCCCGCTTGGGGACTGTAAGCCCCAAAGAACTCAGTAAATAAGCAAGACAACGACGTCTCTTTCTAGGCAATTAACTATGCACGAACAACAGGGCTCCATCAAGGAACATACAATCTCTTCTCACAACCAGACCATCACCAGAGAAATCTTAACAAACAACACAGAAATCATCGATAGATACAGCGATAGCCGGAAACTCGTCTTAAGCGAAGCACTACACATCAAGAAGTCAACACCAGCAATCAATAGCCAATTAATGCACAACTATATTCTACCCACTTCAAGACCCCGAACCAACATAGAAGCAGCAAGAGGAAGTATGGGCCAATAGGCGTTCTGCAGTTACTTCTTTTCTTATATTTTCATACCCAATTTATACCCATTGATTCGTGTTCTGGCATATATCTATCACCTCACCCAAAACTTTTGTACCATATCATCTCACCCCAAACGAGAATAAGTAGGACATATTTTGAGTGTAAACTAAGTCTTTGAAAATGTAATAATTATTACGAAATGCGTTCTGATATCAGACCAGAAATAAAGAATGAATTTTGGAGAGTTAATTTATCAATTACCATCGACAGTGAAGAAGAACGTAAGAAATATTGAGAAGATTCGTGTTAGAATTATTTATCTTACCCTTTCTGTCATATTAAACAACATATGTTTACAAGAAAGACTGCTACCAAAATATAATAATATAAATATATATATATATATATATATATATATATATATATATATATATATATATATATATATATATATATATATATATATATATATATATATATATATATATATATATATATATATATATATATATATATTATATATATATATCTCAGTAGGAGCAAGCAACCCTCCCCGTAAGACTCGGCGACCTTCGTGTCCGCACAGCCTCCGAGATTGCTCTAACAGCCTTCCAAACAGGCTGTTTGAAAGGTCCCTAACAGTGAATCAAACCGCTGTTTGATGCTAACAGAATCAAAACAGTAATTCTACATCCAACAAGGCTGATATCCATGTGGCCCTGGGTTAGAGGCACCCTTCATGAGCCCAGATGGGCACATGTATAAACAAGTAGATGGGGCCGCCATGGGTTCTCCTCTAGGTGTCCTGTTTCCGAACTTCTACAAGGGTACCCTCGAGCAGAAGGTCTTAGTTGACATGGACTTGAAACCCGCCATATACTGTGGTATGTTGACAACATTTTTATGCTGGTACCTGATGTCAGGCGTCTGCAGGATTTGAAGGAGGAATTTGAGCGGAATTTTGTGTTGAGTTTAACTTAAGAGATGGAGAAGAATGGGAAGCTGCCCTTTTAGATGTAACAGTCATGGAAAGTAGCGGAGGCTTCCACACTGCAGTCTGCCTTAAGGAAACAAACATAGGAATGTGCATCAATGCCAATAGTGACTGCCCAGACAGGTACAAGATGAGTGTTGTTAACGCTTACGTCGACCGTGCTCTC